CGGGGGGGCCGAGCCTGGCTGTCAGCTGGGTCGCTGCCCGGAGCCGCGGGCCGGGCCGGGTACCGGGGCGTTTGGCTTCCGCTCGAGCGGGCTGTCCCGTCCTGGCGGCTCCCTGGGGACCGAGGCGGAGGCCGCCAGCCCCGCGCGTCTCTGGAAGGGCAGCCAGAGCATGGGGAGAGCGCGGTCTGGTCCCTGGCTGCTCGCTGTTGTGTTTGGAGCCTCCGATCTCAGGAAGAGGTTTAATTTCCGAGACTCTTCGGTCTGGGATCAGCTGTGAAACAGGCTGAAGGGGTGACCTGAGTACCAGAGCAGAGGAGCTGCCGTGTACGTGGGCTGCTCTTGAGCCTTATCGCAGGCTTCATGGCTTGCTGTTGTGTGCGTATGCGCTTCCTTCTTGCTAAATGTAAATGAGAAGTCAATGTGTAAATGTGTAAATATTCAGATTCACCCCTTTAAAGAAGTTTCAAGATACAATAAACAATACCTGCTTCTGATGCAGAAGAAAGGAAAACATGGAAAAGCAAATTGAGTATAGATAGTTCTAGAAATATGTAATAAAAACTTGGTAAAGCAGTGGAAAGGGTGTGAGAAGTATGTACAGAGGCTCTTGTGTCCGTTACAAAGATGCCGAGTATTGCAGCTGGTAAAAAGAACTCGACTGCCTGAGTTTGTGAACTCAAAGCTGAGCAGAGGTCAGTTGTTGCATGTGCTCAGTGCTCTTCCCTTCTTATGCTTTCTCTTGTTCCGTGCCAGCTGTTTCAAAAGAGTAGAAGCAGAGGCAGCCACTGGAAGAGCACGTAGTTAGATTAGCCATCCAGTTTCTGTATTTATTTTTTTGTAAAGTGCTGTAGCTCAAAGCTTAGTGTTTGCATTAATCCCGTCCTAACAAAAACCAGAACACCACTGGAAAACGAGAACACCCTGAGCCTGAACTCCTGAATGTTGGAGCCCTAAGAACCATTGTGGGAGTTGCCGTATGCCTCATTGTAAACTACAGCATTAGCAAGCCAGTGCTGTCTTTTACCACTCTCCAGTAGGAAACTGCCCCATATTTATTCCAAGGATAGAAGCTCCCTGTTTTCAGGAATGTTGGATAACTTGTGTGCTCTAAGTGTAGGCACTTAAAACCAGAAACACAACCTATTAAAAGCTAAAGAGAGTAATGAAGAGTAATGATGACTTTCTTTACTGCAGGTCAGCCAGTGTCCCTGGAAGCTCAAATGCAGCTGCTGGCAGTAATCGTCGTCTTCAGCAGACTCAACACCAAGTAGATGAGGTAAAAGTCTAGTCTGATAGCAGTGTAATAATTTTCCTTCAGGAAACCTATACAACTAGAAGGGATATTTTGGCCAGAGCAATTGCCTGTTCATTATGTGAAAGGGGAGCCTCGTATCATTCATCTTGCTTTGTTACTTGTGTCATCTTAACTTTTGCAAAGGTTAAAAAAAAAATAAATCCATTCAGAGGGAGTGGAGGGGAAGAGAGAAGTTACCAGTGTCCAAACACTAGCTGCAGACTGCTTGAGGATTTGGCATAAGTGAAGATAAAAATCCTTTGTTCTCACAGAGAACAAGCTTTTCTCTCATCAGTAGCAATGAACACTGACTCGTGAATATGACGTGGGGAGTCCAAAAGCCCGGCTGGCTACCAGCACTATTTTTTTGACACATAGTTCAGTATCATGTTTATTTGCCTCAATTCGTCCTGAATCGAGTCAGGAATTATTTCCCAGGTTGAAGGGAATACCAGTACAACTGGCATTGCTGACATTTTAAAGCAGGTATTAGGGGCTTGCAGCCACAGGTGAATTTAATTATTTTGCTTAAGCTCATGACTGGATTTACTAAAAGCCAATAGCTCCTACTTCTGAGAAAATCCCATCGAATACCATGTGTTGCTATCTGTTGCCTACAGTTAAGTTCCACGGTGGGTTTTAAAACTGATAACTTACTGTAAGCATTGAACTGATGTAGGTTGTTGACATCATGAGAGTGAATGTGGACAAGGTATTGGAGCGAGATCAGAAGCTGTCAGAGTTGGATGACCGTGCTGATGCACTGCAAGCAGGAGCTTCTCAGTTTGAGACCAGTGCGGCCAAGCTGAAAAGAAAGTATTGGTGGAAGAACTGTAAGGTAACTATGGCTTGTGTGCTTACGCTGTCTAGTATTGTGATTAACACTGTTACAATTGGCATCTCAACAGGCAGAAGTAAAAGTGGCTTCAGACAATGTTATTTAAGTTATAGCATCTGTTTTTGAAACATAGCATAGCAGTTAGATGAAGTAACCAGAAGCTGGATTACCAGCTGTGCTGCTTGATGCAGAACTGTGTCTAAGATGGTAATGGCCAGAGGGAAGCACCTCAGGAATCTGAGGCTTTGGGGATCAGGAAGAAAAAGGCCAAAAATGCATAGGTTGAGTTCATGTGTAGGAAGTGTCAGAAAGCAGAAGGAGCTCGTTCAGACTGCCGTACTCTGTTGGCAAAGGTTGCAATCTTGTTTGGTAAGCAGCAAAGTGAAAGACATGGTAGAGGGTAGAAGTGATGTTTAATAGTTCTTTACTGGTGCTTCTGTAGTCACCTGAGACAGGCTTTGCAGGGAGGCACAATAGAAAGGAATCTGTTGCTCCGCTTTGCCTGCGTGCACAGCCTGCCATCTCCGAGTGCTCACGGTGACTCAAGCTTGCTTCTGAAGAAGGTTTATGTGCTGTCTTAGATCTAGCACGCAGTGCAAAAGTACCTTGTGGGTTCTGCTTTCTTATACCCTAAAGGCCAGTTAATGCTGCTGCATGGTTTGTAGTAAGTGTTGTATGGCTTTTTTCACAGATGTGGGCAATATTGATAGCTGTTGTTGTCTTTATCATCATCATCATTATTGGTAAGTTTCACCAAAATGGGGATTTCTCGTAGAGTTTGAATAGATGGTGTTAATTCACTGACTGGTACAGTTTAAATAAAGCCAGGAAGCTCAAGGGAAAGTATATATAACATTAATTTGAAATAGCAGTGACTGCTTTAACAACTGTTGCCTGCAGTGACCGTTGTGGGAGCCCCAGTAGCTGAATCTCAGACACCAGCGCAGAGTGAGACAGGTGAAAGTGAAAATAGCAAGGACTTAAAAATCCAAGGTTGTTCCTGGTTTCTGCAGCTGCATGTTGCAGAACTGTAAGGAGAAATACCATGTTCTCTTGCCTGAGAACTGCTTTTCATCTGCCCCAGCGTCTTGCTAGAGGACTTTTCAACGTGGCAGTTCCAGGTGTGGTGCCACAGTCAGTAGGCTTTTTTCAAGTAGGGACTTTTGCTGCTGGGTGAAATGATATTAATGTTGGGTCAGGATAGCAAGCCAGGAACATAGAGTTCAATCTTTGGTTTGAGTTCTCATGTAATTCCCAAGTATTTCATGGGAGGACACAGTTTGGGTTTGTGGTGCAGTAACAAACACAGCAGTTACTGCAGTGGCAACCAGTGGTTCTGGGTGAGAAATCTGTGCAAGCACAAAAGACTAAAGCTAGAAAATCAACACAGGTAACTCTTAAATCTCTCTTTACCTATCTCTAGTATCTTAAATGCAGGATTGTTATGGTGAGGGGCTGCAGGAGACTGTCCTTTGTCCAACTTTTTTCTTCTTTTTGTAGTCTGGCAAGTGTCATCTTCATGAGTTACAGGAAGAAACTCAAATCAACTGAAGGTGCCAGTCTTCAGCCTCTCCACTTCAAGCCTGCTGTATTTTTCAGCCTATTTACTGCTGTTTAAAGCAAAACTGTTTTGATTACTGAGATGTTAACTAACTTTACCAGGTTGCCTTAAAAACACTCTGCCATAAATTACTAACAAACACAG